TTGATTTCAGAGAGGAAGGAAGAGGGAGAGAGAGATAGAAACATCAATGATGAGAGAGACTCATTGATCGGTTGCTTCCTGCATGCCCCACAGGGGATCGATCCTGCAACATGGGCATGTCGACACTCAACTACTGACCCGTGCTGGCCAGGCAGCATGAAAACATTTTGAAGGTCAAGCTCAGAGGGTCTAAGATCAGTGGTTCTCAACCTTCCTAATGCTGCGACCCTTTAATACAGTTCCTCATGTTGTGGTGACCCCCAATTTCATTGTTACAGATTGAACATAATTAAAGCACAGCGATTAATCACAAAAACAATATGTAATTATATATGTGTTTTCCGATGGTCTTAAGCGACCCCTGAGAAAGGGTCGTTTGACCCCCAAAGGGTCGCGACCCACAGGTTGAGAACCGCTGGTCTAAGATGAAACAGACAGGTCTGAATGTGTAAGCCATAGGTGGTTATGTGGACGTACATACATCCAGGCCAGTGGAAATCTCCTTGACTGCCCTGAGCAGATGGGAGGGGAAAAAGGGGTAAAGAAGTCAAGATGTAGCATACATACCACTCTATCTGATCTATGACACAGAAACGTTTATATTGTGTCATCACTCAACTCCGGCTTTTAGGGCCCTTGTGGGGCTCAGTACTTCTAACCTCTTTTGCCTGGTTGGAAGACCTGCAATACTTACCCTAGTGATCACAATGTAGGCTGTGCATTAAAATGACCTGGGCGTTTCAGAAGTCTCTGTGCCTAAGCTGCATGCCAGACCAATTTGGTAAGGAACTCTGGGGGTGGAACCTGGGCATCAGGATATTTGAAAGCTGTCAGGTGACTCCAAATTCCAGCCAGGTTCGAGGACCATCGGATAAAGTGTCCCCTGAGCACCTCCCCCTTGTCCCACCTCGAAGCCTGCTTTCCTCCCACCTGCTCTTTTTTCTCTTTCCTCAAAGTTATTTTTGAGTCCCAGTTTAACCTCCACCCATAAAGTCTTGTCTGGCCCCGATTCTCGGTGCTATGCCTCTGGTTCGTGCTCTCCGGCAGCCTCAGTGCTGTGGCTCATTGCTCCCCAGAAGGGAACTGAGCTCTTTAACTGGACTGTAAGATTCTCGGAAGAAGGAAGCACATGTTTCTATGTCCTGACAACTCCTGGACAGGATCTGGACTTGGAATAAGGGAATAATAAGTACCTGTTGAATTGGGGGCTGCTGTTAACAGATATGGTATCTTTGGGCAAGTTCAGAAAAGTGCCCCTTATAGACTAAATATTATAAAACAGGTATCTTTCCTTGGGGTGCAGGCACCAGGGACACAGCTTGCTAAATGAATGGTGGCCAGATTATGGCTCCACTCAACTTCTTGCCTGGGTGCTCCTGCCAGGGCGCAGTCTGCATGACCTCCCCCAGTTTGCTTGATGTGCAAAACCAAGCCACGGTTGGTATGCAAGAGGTTGACCCAGAACCCAGACAAGTGATGCTTCCCCTCTTCCAGGACTAACCGGAGCCACCAGGTTTGGGGGAGAGGAGAAGGGCAAGCATATAAAACCATCATTTTTACTCCTAGTGTTTCATCGGATCTGAGGAAGGGCAGGAGGGCTGGAATTGACCTGCAGGTTAGATAGAAATCTCCCTTTACTGCCTCAGCTAACCCTACGATGGTGGACATTGTACCAGTTTCCCCTGTCCCAGAGAGGACTAAGCCAAGCCAAGGTCCCCGGAGCCCCTCTGGGATGCCCAGAGTCGTTCCTCTCTGTGACAGGCCATGGAAGAGCTGGTGGATGTGGGTCTGGTGAAAGCCATCGGGGTCTCCAACTTCAACCACATCCAGATCGAAAGGCTCTTGAACAAACCTGGACTGAAACACAAACCAGTGATGAACCAGGTAAATTGCTTAGTAAGGTGTAACGATCCTGCCCATTACATCTTAAACTGTTGGGGCCAAGTTCTGTGTTACGTACTGAGTCTTACTTATCTCGGGACTCAGTGATCAGGACACTTTGGGGAGGTATGAGACAGCTCTTGGTGTCTGGGTTAGCAGGGGGCAGTCTGGTCTTTGTCTGGCAGGGTGTGTGTGTGTGTGTGTGGGACGCCCTGAGAAGGGCTCAGAAAGCAGGCCAGCTGCCGAGTGACGGGATTGCTTGCTTTTGCAGGTTGAGTGTCACCCATACCTCACGCAGGAGAAGCTGATCCAGTATTGCCACTCCAAGGGCATCACTGTCACGGCATACAGCCCTCTGGGCTCTCTGAGTAGACCTTGGTATGCATCTGAAGGATTTTTCTCTTGATACCCTAAAAACCTATTTCATTATTGGTTCATGTTGGTCTTAGACTACAAGCCCTCAGAAAGGAAAACGTGTCAAAGGCGATGTGCCTGGCACAGCCAAGCAGTGGGGGGAAATGGGAGCTTTCAAAAACGGAACGTGCCTGACCCTTGAGGATGCTCCAGGTCAGCCCCCCAGGGCTGGGCCTGCCTTTGCGAAATGCTGAGGCTCAGAGCGTGTGGAGCTCAGGGGCGAGACCCCACGCTTTCAGATCCTCCAGCCTCATCTCCCATGTGGAGAAGACTGATGAGCAGCCCTGGGCCCCTCACGGTAGTAGTATTCACCCGCCTATGATAACATGGTGATCGTTCTACCTTCCTTCTACCTGTAGGGCCAAGCCGGAGGACCCTTTCCTGCTGGAGGACCCCACGATTAAGGAGATTGCTGCCAAACACAAAAAAACCACAGCCCAGGTACAGTGCGTGCGTGTGTGTGTGTCTGCCCCGGTAAACCATTTTGGTTTTTTCTTCCTTATGTTCCCTTCACTTAACTCCTTGAAAGAGAAGTGAACAGGAGAGGAAGCCCCCCAGGCCTTTCCTTGGAAGTGTCTTTGCAGCCCAGGAAACACCATGGTCATCAGGGAAGGAAGGCCAGCGTCCCTCTCACAGCTGCAGCGAAGCCCTCGAGCTGAGCGGCAAGAGCGTGACTTTTGGCGCTGGCTCAGATCCCAGCTCCACCACTGACCAGCTGGATGACCCCGAACACTGTCCCAAGCCTCTCTCTTTCTTCTTTTTTTTTAAAAAAATAATGTGTTAGAGGGAAGCAGAGGGAGGTGGTGAGGATCAGGGGAGATAATCGAGCAGAGGATGGGCAAGTGTCGGATTGTCACGAAGTGCTCGGTCAGTACAGCCGCTGTCACGCGAGGCACAGTGAGCGGCAGGTTTTTTATTTTTCCTTTTCACAGGGGAGGCGTCCCTGTAGATAAGTGGGAACACGATGTCCCTTTCCGCACAGGTTCTGATCCGGTTCCAGGTCCAGAGGAATGTGGTCGTGATCCCCAAGTCCACGACGCCGGCACACATCGTTGCGAACTTCCAGGTCAGATTCTGGCTGGATGACCCTGGTTTTCCTTGGGGGGG